ATAAGTCTAGAAGATGTTAAAAGATTAGGACTTTTAAAGTTCCTCTGTCCAATCTTCTTAAACCTATATGGTGGCTAGTGAGGTTAAAAGCTTCTTTGAAGTTATAATTTCTCTAGAAAGAAGTTATTAATTTTACTTTATCTTGCATAGGTAGTAAGCCGCAGAATGCAAGTGAATAAAAGCCAATGAGATAGTCTTGTTATCAAAGGATACCTGGATTACTTTGATACATGATCATCAGTTGTGGTAAGTGTGATTGCAATTGTGCGAAGTCTAGAGATACTTCAAGATGGATAGTCAGATAGCTTTCCTATATGAAGATTTAGTTGAATAAATCTTTATGGAACAACCTGAAGGGTTTGTCGGTTCCAAGATGAGGAAAGTCTGTAAGCTTGGGAAATCTTTATATTATTTGAAACAAGTATCGTAACACTAGCATGAGAAATTTGACAACACAATGTTGTCAAGAGAGTTTTAAATAAATAGGGATTAACAAATATGTGTATGTCAAAGACACTGACAAATAGATACGTCAGTTTGTGTCTGTACAGTTGGTAATTATGAAGAAGTTGTTAAATTCTAAGTCTGACATGGGCCTTACATATGTGATTACCAGAACATCTGGTAGTATTGTATTTTCTCAATCTCATTATGTTGATAACATACTTGAGAAATTTAGTAAATCAAACACAAGTGTGTCAAGGACACCGTAGGCTTGAGTCTACATTTGGCCGAGAATAATGGTGAGAGTGTATTTTAACTAGAATATTCTCGGGTCATTAGAAGTTTAAAGTATTTAATAAGGTGTACAAGGCCATGTATAGCCTACTCAGTAGACAGGCTAAATAAATACACGAGTAATCCTAATGCCTATCTTTAGAGGGCGTTTGTACGGGTACTAAGATACTTACAATGAAGTCGGGATTCTGGGTTAGGTTATCCCATATATCCAGTTGTACTAGAAGGGTATAGTGACGTCACCTGGATATCTGATATAAAGACTACAAATCCATTAGTGGATTTGTTTTCATTATTAGAGGTGCAGCTGTGTCTTGGAAATCTTTCAAGCAGATGTGTATCACCAGATTAATGATAGAATCGGAGTTCAGTGATTTAGATAAAGCTACCGAAGTAGCTGAATGGCTTTTCCGTTTTCTTAAGGATATTCCATGTTGATCGAAACTTATGTTAACAATTTTGTATACTTTGCGACCACCAATCAAGTATTGGTAGGGCATAGAGTAATACGTATAATAGAAAATTTAGACATTTTCGTTGAAGGCATAATTCCATACGATGACTAATCTCATGTGTTGTCACTATAGGCTATATACAGTTTAAAGACAATATTACTGATCTGTTAATCTAAGGGTTAAATCGAAAGTTAGTAAGAGGTTGTCAAGAGAAATGAGGTTAAGGCCTTTAGCGAATGTTATCGGAATGGAAAACCCAACCTAGTTGACCTGAGATCCCAAGATCTAGGTTCAAAGGGACAACTTAATTGCGTGCAATGGATGAGTCACTGTGGAAGTAAATCCTCCTGTTCATTCTTGTATACAGTGATACCCTGTGGGGTGGGAGGTTAAGTTGATGCTTTTAATGACCTAAGTGTTATGAATAGTCAACTGTGGTATAGCGAGATACCTATGTAGGTCACTTATGTAAGTGCGAAGTGGGTCGCCTCTTTAAGAATTGATAAGGCTGAATTCTTTAAAAACACTCACTGAACCAGACTAGTATTCTAGGGCCAAACTAGACACACCAGTGAGAACAAGAATAATGGTTGGAGTAACTCCTGTGTGAGATCTATTGTCTCGATTTCCACAAATGACAGAATAGTTCAAGACATCATGTTCACTAGTTAGCTAGTAAATTCGATAGGCTTTCACTACAAAAGGTTCAAGGCTAACAACTACCTTTTCTAATACAGAGTTATTCTGTGTGCTCTCTCTCCGAGTCTTTGTTGTTAAGCGTTGTCCGTTTTTGTTTATTCGGCCAATTTTATTCATGTGCGGGATTGTTAGAAAATAATAATTTTTCGGCAACTTTAATTCGAAATTAAAGTAAGACCCAACCGCCAGTTGAGGTAGGTTTGAGTGGTTTTGTATTCTCTCAAGTAAAAAGATTATAATATAAAAATGATGGGTCGAAACCATTGAGTTATGAATGAGAATTGTCTCATAAAATGGGCATCAATAAAAGTTGGGCTTGAGCCTTGGCTTGGACTTGGACTGGCCTAGGCTTGTGTATGTGCATGTGTTAGACTTAGTCTTGGGCATAGGCTAGATTGTGCTATGCTGGATTGGGCTTGTCTTGTGCATATGTTTTAGACTGGGTTTGGATCGAGTTATGACCCAACACCTGTATCCATTTTGCGACCCATCTAGTTGGATTATTTAAATAGCATTATATATGTATATTTTTATTTATTCAACCTTTGTAACTCTCATCTTTTGATGATAGAGTTGATGATCATAATATGCATATGGAAGTTTTGTATCTTTGTAACTTTAGCCCTAATAGTTAGAGTTGATGGCCATTGATGCTAGGTTTTATGGTAGCCTTCATGGCTAAGACCCCTTCCTTACAAGTATGAAAAGGGACTTTCCCTTCCAATTTAGAAGAAGAGTTTTTAAAAGATTTTTGATGGAGAATGGAGATGGTGTTTTGAGATAAAAAAGTTAGAGATGAGTTTTTACACCAAAGAAAAATTTTACCATCTTCTTTTGTTAGCCCCTTCTTTAGTTCTTGTTAGAGAGAGTGCATCTATTGTCAAGTTCGCCAAAACTATTCAGAAGGTGCTTTTGCATTAGTTGGTTTCAACCATCGTATCCTGGGAGACAGACACCGGCGTACCTCCAGCATCCATCAGAAGGCGGTGAATTTCTTTTAAGAAAACTGTCTAGTGCAGGCTCGGTATGCTTTTTTTTTTTTTAATCATTTGTTCTTAAATTTTTTAATATTTATTTTACAAAGATGAGTTCTACTCTTTAGTTATCCATATTAATAATTTATTCTATTAGTAATGTAATCTAATTTATTTTTGTATTTTTGGTTGTGTCGTTTATTCTGTATTTCATCATTTTAATAAAAAAATGTTTTGTCATTTTTATTTAATTTATTTAATATATTTTTCATGTATTATTATGGAAAAACACTAACACTTGAGACACTCCGTGTTGTGGTGCCAAAATGACATCATTTTGGTAAAAAATAAAAAATAAAAAATTTCTTAGCCTTACTCTTTTTTGATTGAGAAACCACAACCCTAAAGCACTATGAACAGAGAATATAGTATACAGACTCCACTGTTGCCCTGACAAGCTCTGCAATTTGAGAAATAAGTTGTGTACAGAGAATATTTTGATATAATATTATGAGTGTTAGTGGATGCCTATTATAGTCATTTTAATTTAGGGTATAATTGTCATTAAAATAATATTTCATTGAGTGATTCTACTTACACCACCAATCTAACTCCTTATACCCTCAAATTTAATTTTTTGTATTTTATATTTTTATAATTTATACAATTCCTTTATTACCCTCATCTCTAACCTTCCTCGTTTTCCTTCTATTTATATCCAAAACCTAAAAAATCCTAACCCTAGTTCTCTCCCATCATTACTACCTCCACCGGCCCACTACCGGTGCCACCACTATTCCACTACTCCACTACCCTTTGACTCTACCTAGCCAATTAGTAACTTTAAGCAGTTCCAAAATTCAAAATATATTAAAAACAAACAGGTAGTGAATTAATTGAAAAACCATTGCCGCAAATTTTGATAGGAGCTTCGAGTTCAAGAAGATTAGGCTGATTGAGAAAGATTTCCTTGGAAAAGACATAGAGTTACCGAATCTCAGCCTCCGTAATCTATACCTGCTTCGGCACACGCCCGTTCTTCGCATCAAGAAGCCTCCGGATGATATCGTCAATCAACTCCTTATCCATTGCCTCCGATTCAAATTATCAATCAAATACACAAATTATCTAAACCCTAGTGTCTCTCTCTCTCTCTCTCTCTATACATCACAAAAATAAGAAAAAACAAAACCGAAAAAAAATGTATGGTTTGAATCGTGGTTTGAGAGAGATAGTAGTGATAATGTTGTAGACTTTTCTTGGTCTGTGTGGATTGTTAGGTTACGGAGTTAGGTCAATAAGATTGTTTTTGGGTTGAGTGGCCGCCATTTTAGGTTTTGAGTGTAAAGAGAAGGAGAAGGAGAATGAGGAGAAAGATTTAGAGATGAGGATAATAAATGAATTGTATAAATTATTAAATAAATAAATTTGAGGGTGTAAGGAGTTAGATTAGTGGTGTAAGTAGACTTACTAGTGAATGTTCAAGCTCTAATTCATTAAGTGTGTGAATTGAGATAATTAGATGTGTAAAAATAAAATTTTTTCTATTTCTTAGGCCTCGTTTGGGAACAGGCTAATTTAGTAACTTTTTGGCTATTTGGCTAAAATGTGATGTAAAAAAAACTAGTATGTTTGGGATGACTTTTTGGCTTTTTACGAAAAGATGTGCAAAAAGTAGAGAGAAAAGGGAATCTTTGACTTTTTGGTATGAGTTGTTGGCTTTTTGACTTTTTTAGTAACTTTTTGACTTTTTGACTAAAATAGCCTCTTGCTAAACGAGGCCTTATTAGGATTGCAAACAAGCTAAGACGAGCGAAGCTCTAGACAAGCTTCAAAAATCAAGCTCAAGCTCGCTCGAATAAAACCGCATACACTTCGCATACAAAACAGGAGAGAGAGAGGGAGAGAGAGAGAGCGCGAGAGAGGTGTCAAATTTGTCACGAGTCCGAACCCTAAGATATTCCGCGCTTCTCTCCTATTTTGAAACACCATTTTTCTCTCTCTAATCCTTCTTCCCTCCATTATCTTCCCGCCTCTCCCTCCTCTTTAAAGGACGCCCTTCCCTAATCTCCCTCTCACTCTAACCCCTCTCTCTCTTTCTCCCCCCATTGCCCTCGCACCACCTTCGGCAGCCATGAACCGCCGAGTCCGAAGGCCATCTTCGAAGAAGATTTCAGACGAAGGCTACCTCCGATATCTCAAGCCAGGAGCTCTCGCTCAGCTTCGAGACTCGCGAATCAGTGCCAGATCTCACCGAACCGACTTGCAGATTCAGATCTCTCTGTGCCGTACGCCATCGCCTTCTTCGTCGCCAGTGCGGGCCGCGAACGCTCAGATCGACGGTTTTCCTTGCTTTTCAGGGAGGATCTACGGTCCTCGATGCCCGCAGAGGAAGAAGTTGGTGGCGGCTAAGTCAGTGTTCTTTCTGAGTTCGAATCCATCGAGTCCGACCTCGGATTCGCCTGATTCGATCATTGATCTGTTCAGTAATGATATTCTTGTTGCACATTGAATGACTGAACTCAATCTGTGAAGCGAATTTGCTTTTTCCTATTGTAGATTGGCTTCTGTAGTGGATGACAGTTTTTTTGCCTTTATTGGAACTATATGTGAAAAATATGTTACTTAGGGCCAAAAATTAATAATAAGTTGTTCCATTATAGTTCATTTTTACTCGTTGATTTCTGATTTATACTTCATTTTGCTTTAGATTTCGTTTCCAATTGGCAATTTATACATACTTATTTTTTGAATTTAAGAACTATTGTTTATGAAGTAAGTAATTCTCAATGGACGGTGAAAAATTGACAAGGATGCGCTGTTTAGATTGACAAATATATGTCCACAATCTATTTGACAAAAAATTTCTGTTTTTGTGATGCATTATAATTGAATCAATGCTTTATTTATGCATTATGTAACTGTTTGTAGTGTTAATTAAATGAATTGTAGTTACTTTCACTGCACTTGCAAGTTGTGTATCATCTCTTGGTAAATTTTGTGTGTAAATGTTATAAATCATCACATCATGTCATTATAGTGTCATGTTCTTCTTGTTGAATGTTATTGAGTTCATTATTGTATAAATTGTGCTCTAAAGATGATGATTTTTTCAAAGTGTCATGTTATGTGTCCCTCCTAGAATGGTATGTTGTGTGTTGAGTTGATTGTTTCATTGCTTTGGTAGTTGATACAGTTTCACTTGCTCCAACTTTAATTTCCAAAAGACACTGTTCTCTCACTGTTGTGTTGTTTTGATTGGTATATGTATGATGTATTTAAAAGCTATTTTCCTGTTTGTCCTGGTTAACTATATCATTTTTTGAACTTGTTTTGTTTAGTTGATTTATTTTTAGGAAACTGATGAATAGGTTCTGTTCATAAACACTTTGTAGAAGGGAAACCATACAGATTCTCTTGCTCTGCTGATTAGATGGTATTACTCTGACATTGGCATTGCTGTGAATCTTGTGATAGATCAGTTAGTGTAGCTGAGATAGAACCTCTTGATAATGATGTGAAAGTTCTATAATATATATATTCAAAATCAATTCCGTCAGTTACAATCTTCTGTTGTGATCTTAGTTTGTAAGCCAATTTGATGTATGTATGTTGTTTGATCAGCGGAGACCTTGTTTAATAATGTTGGCATGCCTGCGGTTTGAATTGTTGAAATTATGATGATGCTGCTTCAATAGTTTCAACATTCAAGGCTTTTTTTTTTTTCTCTCAAATTCGGGGGGAATTCAACTGTTATGTCGGTCGAGTTTTGAGTTTAGCTTATTAAAAGACCAGACATGAATCAGAAAGTGAGTGAACTCAAACTGGTCCAATCTTGTTTTTCATTTCCTTGTTTTCTGAAAACACTTGCGGTCCTGCCCAAAGAAGTTAAGCCTAGAAGATTACAGCTTGTACAGAAATTAGTATATGCGATTGAGGATTTAGTTTGTCATCAAGTTTACACTTGTTGAGCAAAATGCTCAAGCTGTCCAACTTGTAGGATGAAATGCTTCCTAAGAGGAATTTGGTTGATTTTAGTTGCCTTTCTGGTTGTGTTGCCTGTGAAAGTTATAGTGTCAAGGTTCTGATCTAGGTGGCAAAATGTAGCATGAAGGTGCTTTTGGAACCATTGTAATTGTGAATAAGGAATTCCTTTTTATTCTGCAAATAGGCTCCAGAATGCTCATATTCATGCTGCGAAGTGTCCAGTTAAGAAGTAACATGCTATATCCAGGTTCTCTTACTCTATTCTTTATATATATTGCAGTATATATATTTTCCGTTTTCATTTAATTATTCATGGTATGATTGCATCTAAAATCGTTCATGATATGATGACATTAGATTTTAATTTATAATGTGCATATCCATCCACCAAGTCATATGAGTAAAAAAAAAGATTCCAACATTTATGTGTTCACCTGTTCATCTCTCTCTCTCTCTCTCATGTGGAAATAGCTATCATGTTCAACCTAAAGAGTATGTTATGTATGTGGTCGTGTTTGTAAAGAAAACTACTTTCATTTCATTTCCATCTATTGAACTGTGCATGTTTTAAAATCTAGCCTTTTGTAGAGTTGGTGGACAAACATTTTGATCACCAATTTATAAGCTTTGTTTGTTGCTAAAATTGTGCGCCTGCCTAAAAATGCCAAGCTTGTTCTTAATAGTTTAACAGGATAAGCTTCAACAACAGCAGGCACTTGGCTTAAAACAGACTTGTGGTTGTAGCCAATGTTTTAATAAGCTTAGTTTTTAAACAGAACACTAGAAAAGGAAAAAAAAAATGTGACCAATTTCCATAAAGCAAGATATGAAGAAGAGCTGAATATTATAGACCAGATTGCAATTTCTAAGTAGCATTTGTGATGCTACCGAAGTGTTTTGCCCCCTTTTGAATTCCTAGTGAAAATACAATGAACTTTAAAACATCTTCATGGAGTAGTCCTTCTGAATTCCTAGTGAAAACACAATGAAATTTAAAACATCTTCATGTAGTCCTTCTGAATTCCTAGTGAAAACACAATGAAATTTAAAACATCTTTACAGAGAAGTTATTTGGTGGTTTTGGGAGTGGTGCTCTAAGAGAATTGTGATTTGTAGAGAGGGTGAGATTCATGATTTTATGTTAGGTCATTGGAAATAGTATGGTGATTGGTGAGGGTGGTGTCCAAAAAATATGGTGAAATTTGACAAAAAATAATTAACTTTAAAATTCAAAATTTAAATTTGACCACAAAGTAAAAAACTCTTTGTTAAGAGTGTGAGACTCAAAAAAATCCTCTCACATGGATTGTTGAAGAGATCTAACGAAGAGATGAGTTGAATGCCTATAGATCTGCAAAGATGAACATAGTCGACGCCACCTAATTGGGGTTGCTAGCCGGGGACACTCCGATGATAAAGATAGCAACTTGAATCAAAGAAAGAAGATAAAGAAATCAAGAGTATTCAGTGTGCTGTGTTGTGTTGCAGAGATTAGAAAGAGCCCTCTACCTTTTATGTCTTGCTTTCCTTTTATAGATGAGGGGTGTAATATTTTTCTCATGGGCTTTCTTATTTGGTTGGGCCCATTGTCAGGCCTTGTTCGGGTTAGCCCAGTAAGCTAATATATATATATTTTTTTCTAGCTTTCACAATTGTCCCAAAATTTTCATTGTCTTCGATAGAAGGAATGAGAGTTTTTATTGTCGAACTACGTTGTTCAAATGGATGTTAGGCTTTTTAATAAAAAACACTTTTGATAAATGAATAAAATGAATGAATGAATAACTGTATGAATGAATGTATGTTTGAATGTATAAATGTATGTCTTGCTTCAAATTTGGAGGCTTTTGTTGATGGCTCTCCGTGTCGAGCATGAAGAGCACTTCGAATTCAGAGGCTTTTGCGATGGCCAATCGTGTTGAGTACAAAGGGCGCTCCGAATTTGGAGGCTTTTGTGATGGTTAATTGTGCCGAGTATGAAGGGCGCTTCGAATTCAGAGGCTTTTGCGATAGTCAATCGTGCCATGCACTGTGACAACCATCACCTCTGATTAGTGTTAAACTGTGATTGAGCATGATAAGTAATTGATTAGAATGAAATCCTAATCTGGTTGCATGAGTGTATTGTTTGAAATGCATTTTTATCTGTTTGTCATTAAATGATCTGTTCATGTTTTAATTTCGAATTGCAAATTGAAGGCCTTATCGGCGACCAAATCAGAAATTGATTAGTGTTTTATGCTAATTAGGATTTATGTGATTTTATGGTAAGTTTAATTAAAATTTGATTTGAAATGATTAATTAGATTAAATAATGCTAGATTAATTGAACCTTGGTAATTACTTTTTTGCCATTGAGTGGCTTGACTCATTGACCAACCTATATTACACCTCATACATTTTTGATGCATCATTTTGTTCATCTTCTAGACCAAAACCCAGAGAGAGAGGGAGAGTAGGAGAAAAACTTGATTTCAACAAGAATTGGCTTGGAAGAATTAGAGGAATTGAAGAGATTTACAAAATTGAGCTAGCATACTTGGAATTCAAGGCCTAAGGTAGGAATTCACCCCCTTGATTATGAATTTGAGTTGTTACATGCATGGTTCATGAGAAATTAGTGATTTGAGTCCAGAATTAGCTTAATGTGTTAAATTAAGAGTCCATTCATGCATGCATGCCCCTATCATGGAATTTTGAGGTTGTTTTCATGAAAATTCTTACATGCAAGTTCACATTTTGGTTGTAGTCCATGAATTCACCATATTTTTTAGCTCAATCTTGCATTTAATCATGTTTTAGAGCATTGGAATTCATAAAAACTCATGTATGTTATGTTCTTGCATTTGGGCTTGATTTTACAAATTGATCTTCTAAACATGTTGTAGTATGAGTTTCCAAGTGTTTTCTAGAAAATTGGCCCAAAAGGTTGAGTTTTGATATGTTTAATTCTTGGTTTGAGCTTTGGGAGCAAATTTGGAAATTCCAGATTTTGGCTTCCACGCTCGAGCGACCATCTTTTGTTCAGAGCTCTGCTCGAGCGACGAAATGCTGGCTCGAGCGTAGATTGCAAGCTCTCAGGTTTTTGTGCACGCAGACGCACGCTCGAGCGACGAGACCTATGCTCGAGCGAAGGGCTGTGTCTCACGCTCGAGCGAGCATCGAGCGAGGATTTTCAACATCCAGTACTTTTCATGTTTTTACAGATCGCTCAAGCGAGGGAGTCTACGCTCGAGCGACCCCTCTGTTTTGATAAGCTCGCTCGAGCGTAGAAAGCCACGCTCGAGCGAGACCCCTGTTTTCAGCAAATTTTGAAAAGTGTTTTAAAGTACATTTTTGCATCCTCATCCCTTCCTAGGTATTCCTAGGCCATGTTTAAGGCATCTTAATGAGGATAATGTTATAGAACCACACCGAGTCAAGTTAAGGGCTAAGTTATTAATCCCAAGTGTGTAACTTAGTGTGTGTTCGTTTTGCAACTGTGTAGGGTTGGCACCCGAAGACGCTGACTAGCCTGTCTTTAGC